AAAGATATATGTGTGTAACCCTTTGAAAGATTTGTCATAGGAGGGAGAAGCATTGACAAAGAAAGGGAGCCAAGCAAGCTTCTTTACACAAGCGTCCGCCTTAACAAGAAGATCTTTTGTGAATATGTATAGGGATTTCGGTTACTACCGGTTGCGCCTAGCAATCTACATTGCGTTGTGCCTGTGCATAGGTACCATCTTCTTTGACATTTGCCACAGCTTTGGCTCTATTCAGGTTAGTGTGAACCTTAAGCCTCAATCAAAAGTTGAACACCTTTGTTTTCTACCTTTCATGGTTTTCTTGTGTTTTTGGGTTGCAAATGTTGTAGGCAAGAGGGTCCATGCTCATGTTTGTTGCAGCATTCTTGACGTTCATGGCGATTGGAGGCTTCCCCTCCTTTGTGGAGGACATGAAGGTCCCTTTTAATTACTATATTTTCATATAGCTTTTTCTTTTACAATGATAATGATAATCCAATAGATTGTATAAATGATGGTTCAATTACAACACTAAAAAAGACATCAAGAATTGGGGGACCATGAACCTATATAAAAAACTTCGCTAAAAAGTTCTCTAACTTTATTAAAAACTACTCCAAAAACTACTCAAAGGAGATTACATCATTAAAGACAACAGTCTCAGACAACAAAGCACCCTTTTTATCAAGCGAATTAATCATCCTTTTGTTCTCCTTTATACCACTTTATAACATTCAAGGAATCGCCTTCTACCACACATGAGGATCCCACGTTGCTTGCAATGAATAATTTCAGCTCATAAATCAGTGCATAGAACTCTGCATTGTTGGCTGTAGTCTCACCGAGAGGACCCGCATATGTAAACAAAATAGTTCCTTCGTAATTTCTCACTACTCCTCTGTAGCCCGCTAAACTCGGATTTCCCAATGAGCAACTATCAAAGTTTAGTTTGAAAATACCTTCCAATGGCGGAACCCAATTGACTTTCGGCCTTCTTCTGATAAATCTCATCTGAAACAGATTTGGTAGATTTCTCCTAATATCCACCTCCACCATATCCTCCCCTCCTTTAGCAGCAGATAGCCAGAACCACACAATGTGCACCATCTTTTCAATGATCCTTTCCATGGATAAACCAATCTCGTCAAATGTCCTTCTATTTCTTTCTTTCCTCACTTCCTACATGACAACTTCTCTAACTATTTGCCAGATCAAATTTCCTAACTGCGGCAGCCAAGGTAGAGAGAGATTAGAAATAATTCCTATCATTTGTTTGGGGAATACAGTCGAACACCCCACTTGTAAAACAAACCAGGACCAAATTCTAGAAATGAAAGGGCAATGTAGAAACAGATGATCACTTGTTTCATAATTCCCCTTGCACATTAAACATACAATAGAGAGGATCTTCCCCCTTTTAATAAAATTATCTACAATGAATATCTTATCTTGAATAGCCAAGCACAAAAATGCTTGAACTTTATGAGGTATCTTCCACTTCCAAATTTGAGCAACTTCCGGTTTCGACCATCTCCAATGATTATGGAATACAAGGCAATACATTGACTTCACTGAAAAGATGCCATCTGACTCAATCTCCTAAACTACCTCGTCTTCTGCCATTTGAAGAACATAAACTCGGTTCAGGACCTCCAAGAGAAAATTTATCTGGGCAAATAACTCATCTGAAATTCTGCTATAAGGAAGGTTCATTTCCCATGCGATCTGGCCTCCCCTTAATTCAAACATATCTGACACCACATCGTTAAGATTATCTGTTTCAGCAAATACCCTAGGAAACACATATTTTAGGGGATAATCACCAATCTACTTATGGTGCCAAAATGAGATCATATTTCCACTCCCCAATTCCATCTCACATTCAGATGGATCAACGCTTACAAAACTTAATAGATCTCTGAAAGAACGAGACATGCCTATTACCATTCCTTAACCCAATCCACATACTGCAGTTATCTAAGCCATACTTAGCTACCACCACTTTGAATCATAACTAATCCTTAAATAGAAGACTTCGCCACCACCATTTATAAAGTAATGCTTGATTAACCAACTTTATTTTCCGAAGACCCAGTCCCCCTCACTTTTAAGTGTGCAAACCCTATCCACCTCAAAAGATGATATCTCCTACAAACATCAGTTGATCCCCACAAAAAAATTTCATCACACCTTCAATTTTCCTAGCCATTGAAGACGGAATATGAATGAGGGGCATCTGATACATAGGTAAATTTGTCAAGCAAGCTTGTAACAAAGTTATCCTACCTCCCAAGGATAAATACTTATACTTCGAAAGAACCAGCTTAAATTGAATTATTTGGATAACTTTATCCCAGACAACCACCAGTAATCTTCCATTAGAAATAGGAATACCTAGATACATGATTGGCAAGTGATCCGACTTGCAACCCATAGTCTCTTCTAATTCCCTAACCATTGAATCATCACAATTAACTCCAATCTTGTAGGTTTTTTCGAAACACTTTAAGACCTAAAGATACCTTACAACATCTCAAAAACACTGCAATATTATTTACGTGTTGAGCCTCAGCCCCGGAGAAGATAAGAGTATCATCCGCATACTGTAAATGTGATACAGAAGGCCCCTCGTTTTCCACCTTAAAACCAAAAAAGTTAACCCTACTCCCCACATTCAGCACCAGAAGGCTAAATCACTATGCATAGATTATAAACAAGAAGGGAGATAAGGGATCACCTTTACGTAATCCTCTGGAAGCAGTAGAAAAGCCAGAATGGCTCCCATTTAAAAGAATGGTGAAGTGCGCAGAGGATAAACATCCAAACATCAAACTTCTCCATTTCTCACAAAACTCCATACCATATTCATCATAATTTCTAACAGAATGCCCTACTCTACTATGTCATATGCTTTTTTTATTGTCTAATTTGATCACAACCCTTGAAGTTCCATCCAACACTCTCGAAGGGATATACTCATGAGCCACCAAAACACTGTTTGTGAACATTCGGTCTTTGATGAAGGCAGATTGAGGTCCTGAGAAATTAAGGGAAGCACCACTTTCAATGTCTCCGCTAGAACCTTTGCAACTATTTTATATAGACTTGTAAAAAGGCTAATGCGTCTGATGTTCCCTAGACTTTCAATTACTAACTTTTTAGGAATCAAAGCAATGAAAATAGAAATAACCCATTTAAAAATCCCACCTCTTCTAAAAAAAACCCTAACCATCTCAAACTCCATAATCTTTAGAAAAAAATAGTGGGAAAGTCATCAGGGCTAGGGGACTTATCTTCAGGCAGCGAAAAGACATCAGGGTACTCTTAGGCTCTTCCATAGTAAGATCAACTTCCAAATTGTTTTGAAACTCTAAATGAAAAACTTTGAATGCCACCTGACTCAGGCTAGGAATGAAATTAACCTCTGATGTAAATGCTTTCCGAAAAATGAGCAATAGTTGCATCTGCCGCGGCATTACTATCATCCGACTCAACTCCATTGATTACCATCCGGACAAGTCATTTTGCCTTTTATGAGCACTCACAATAGTATGGTAAAACTTGGTATTTAGATCACCTTCTTTGAGTCATTTATGCCTAAATATTTGCTTCAATTAGACCTTTTCCGCCCTACGAAGATCCTGAAGAATACTGAGTTTTTTTTTTCTCTCCAACATCATATCCTCTAAAAATTAACTAAGGATTGGACATTATTATTGATTAATTAAATATCCAAAAGCACTTTGTCAATTCTTCCTCTAACAATATACCTCTTTTCCTTCTTCAAAAGAATAATTTTTTGTTTGATATTCAATAGTTTCTTATCCAGTGGGAAGTCAAGAGATCCCACTTTGGCGATATTCTCCCAAGAACCTCTAGTTATATCTACAATCTCCTTATCCTGCAATCACCCAATTTCAAATCTAAATGGTTTTGGCCTCGTCAAGGAGGTAATGGAACTTAGTAAAATTGGGGTGTGATTGGAAGATAACCGAGGTAAAGCTTTGACAAACGCAAGAGGAAAGGCATCTGACCAAGTTCCAGAAACCAAAAACCTATTTAACTTAGACATAGATAGATTAGACAAACTTCCATTGGACCAAATATAGTCAGTCCCCGAGATTGGAAGATCAATTAAAGAATGGGTCTCTATAAACCTATTAAAAACCCTCATGGCCGAATTAATCGGCCCCCCAAAACAAGTCTCTTCAAGCCAACAAATGAAATGAAAATTCCCCCCAATACAAATAGGATTATTAAAACTATACAATACATATGACATATCAGAAATAAAGCTTTCTTTAAAAGCATAAGATTGAGGCCCATAAACCTTCATCATACCTCAGTAAAAACTTGGTGTAGGCTCTAAATGGAAAATATTTACCTATGCAAACAACTACATGAAAAAATTACGCATGTATACTTTTTCTTTTTTTTGTAAAAACTGTTGGAAATAGGTAGAGAGAACAATAGGAATAGAACAAGCATTGCAAATGTCAATTGCTAAATAGTTACACCCAAGCCTTATTCCTTACCCACTGCATTGGTTAAGATTTCCATTAGATACCTCCTCAAATTTAATTCACTCAAACCCCAAGGCACTCCCTATTTTCGATCTATTGACTTGTGTGGCCAACCCCAAATAGTTTGGATAAGGCTCTAGTGATGATAATGATGGTGTGAAGTAATATCTGGGCAACAATATTGACCAAAGTCATGAATAAATCCACCAAAAATAAGACTAGAACTAACACTAATGCTTACAGAGGTGCTAAATTTCTTACTTTTCCAAATTTTCCAAACCAAACCATGCAAAATGAATGGGAAAATACCATTTAAGGGGATGAAACTGCTAATAAAATCATTGAAAGGGGTCAAATAATTTATATTAACATTTGAGAACATTTTTTTTTTTATCATTTCACTTAGATACATCCTATGAATTTTTTAAAAAAAAACCCATATTCCGGTTGTTAAATATTTAGAATGACGAATATGATGGGTATTTTAGTAATTTGACCTCAAGAGACCCATCAGATGATGAAAATATCCCAAGTTATTTTGTATTTACATTCTTCAGTTTTAGTAATGCGGAACAACTAGTGTGGAACAAACTACATGTATTTTCGTAATTCAGGTGAGGTCTCTTAGAGGTCAATTACAAATATACCCCTAATTTATTTCACATTCCAAATGCCATACAAGAGCAATTTGAGAATATTTTTAAAGAGATATCTAAGTGACATAATAAAAGAGTGATTTACGAACAAAACTTCAAATTTTAGGTAAAATACGAAATGCTCCATGTACATGTGAAAATTACAAAGGTCGGTCAACCTAACTTTTTTTTTTTTTATCAAACTTGCCCCTCAGTCAACCTGAATTTTTTTTTATTTTTGTTTAGTTTTTTC